GTGTGCAGATTGAGGGTTGAACTGAGTAGATCCTCGACAAAACTAGTGTACAGATTGAGAGTTGAACTGAGTAGATCCTCGACTAAACTAGTGTGCAGATTGAGGGTTGAACTGAGTAGATCCTCGACAAAACTAGTGTACAGATTGAGAGTTGAACGGAGTAGATCCTCGACAAAACTAGTGTGCAGATTGAGGGTTGAATTGAGTAGATCCTCGACAAAACTAGTGTGAAGATTGAGGGTTGAACTGAGTAGATCCTCGACAAAACTAGTGTGCAGATTGAGGGTTGAACTGAGTAGATCCTCTACAAAACTTACGTACAGATTGAGGGTTGACTTGAGTCGATCTTCTACAAAACTAGTGTACAGATTGAGGGTTGAACTGAGTAGATCCTCGACAAAACTAGTGTACAGATTGAGGGTTGAACTGAGTAGATCCTCGACAAAACTTACGTACAGATTGAGGGTTGACTTGAGTCGATCTTCTACAAAACTAGTGGACAGATTGAGGGTTGAACTGAGTAGATCCTCGACAAAACTAGTGTACAGATTGAGGGTTGAACTGAGTAGATCCTCGACAAAACTAGTGTGCAGATTGAGGGTTGAACTGTGTAGATCCTCGACAAAACTAGTGTACAGATTGAGGGTTGAACTGAGTAGATCCTTGAGAAAAAAATGTGTTGCTCACAATCCAGAAGCATTGGAATATAATTCGACGTAGAGTGCTTATGGAAGGGTTTTTGCGATCATACGCATCTCGATTTGATAGGGGTTTATTATATTCCACTCATTTGCAACTGCATCAAAGGCATAATTTTCATGGACATAATAAAAGCATGGCCACAAGGGGCAACTTATCGAACAGAGGACGCACTAGTCAACTTTTGTACAGATTGAGGGTTGAACTGAGTAGATCCTCGACAAAACTAGTGTGCAGATTGAGGGTTGAACTGAGTAGATCCTCTACAAAACTAGTGTACAGATTGAGGGTTGAACTGAGTAGATCCTCTACAAAACTTACGTACAGATTGAGGGTTGAACTGAGTAGATCCTCGACAAAACTTACGTACAGATTGAGGGTTGAACTGAGTAGATCCTCGACAAAAGTAGTGTGCAGATTGAGGGTTGAATTGAGTCGATCCTCTACAAAACTAGTGTACAGATTGAGGGTTGAACTGAGTAGATCCTCGAAAAAACTAGTGTACAGATTGAGGGTTGAACTGAGTAGATCCTCGACAAAACTAGTGTACAGTTTAACGGTTGAACGAAGTAGATCCTTGAGAAAAAATCTGTTGCTCACAATTCAGAAGCAATGGAATTATAATTCGACGTAGAGTGCTTATGGAAGGGTTTTTGCGATCATACGCATCTCGATTTGATAGGGGTTTATTATATTCCACTCATTTGCAACTGCATCAAAGGAATAATTTTCATGGACATAATAAAAGCATGGCCACAAGGGGCAACTTATCGAACAGAGGACACACTAGTCAACTTTTGTACAGATTGGGGGTTGAACTGAGTACATCCTGGACAAAACTAGTGTACAGATTGAGGATTGAACTGAGTAGATCCTCGACAAAACTAGTGTGCAGATTGAGGGTTGAACTGAGTAGATCCTCTACAAAACTTACGTACAGATTGAGGGTTGAACTGAGTAGATCCTCGACAAAACTAGTGTGCAGATTGAGGGTTGAACTGAGTAGATCCTCGACAAATCTAGTGTACCGATTAAGGGTTGAACTGAGTAGATCTTCTACAAAACTAGTGTGCAGATTGAGGGTTGAATTGAGTAGATCCTCGACAAAACTAGTGTGCAGATTGAGGGTTGAACTGAGTAGATCCTCGACAAAACTAGTGTACAGATTGAGAGTTGAACTGAGTAGATCCTCGACTAAACTAGTGTGCAGATTGAGGGTTGAACTGAGTAGATCCTCGACAAAACTAGTGTACAGATTGAGAGTTGAACGGAGTAGATCCTCGACAAAACTAGTGTGCAGATTGAGGGTTGAATTGAGTAGATCCTCGACAAAACTAGTGTGAAGATTGAGGGTTGAACTGAGTAGATCCTCGACAAAACTAGTGTGCAGATTGAGGGTTGAACTGAGTAGATCCTCTACAAAACTTACGTACAGATTGAGGGTTGACTTGAGTCGATCTTCTACAAAACTAGTGTACAGATTGAGGGTTGAACTGAGTAGATCCTCGACAAAACTAGTGTACAGATTGAGGGTTGAACTGAGTAGATCCTCGACAAAACTTACGTACAGATTGAGGGTTGACTTGAGTCGATCTTCTACAAAACTAGTGGACAGATTGAGGGTTGAACTGAGTAGATCCTCGACAAAACTAGTGTACAGATTGAGGGTTGAACTGAGTAGATCCTCGACAAAACTAGTGTGCAGATTGAGGGTTGAACTGTGTAGATCCTCGACAAAACTAGTGTACAGATTGAGGGTTGAACTGAGTAGATCCTTGAGAAAAAAATGTGTTGCTCACAATCCAGAAGCATTGGAAGTATAATTCGACGTAGAGTGCTTATGGAAGGGTTTTTGCGATCATACGCATCTCGATTTGATAGGGGTTTATTATATTCCACTCATTTGCAACTGCATCAAAGGAATAATTTTCATGGACATAATAAAAGCATGGCCACAAGGGGCAACTTATCGAACAGAGGACGCACTAGTCAACTTTTGTACAGATTGAGGGTTGAACTGAGTAGATCCTCGACAAAACTAGTGTACAGATTGAGGGTTGAACTGAGTAGATCCTCTACAAAACTTACGTACAGATTGAGGGTTGAACTGAGTAGATCCTCGACAAAACTTACGTACAGATTGAGGGTTGAACTGAGTAGATCCTCGACAAAAGTAGTGTGCAGATTGAGGGTTGAATTGAGTCGATCCTCTACAAAACTAGTGTACAGATTGAGGGTTGAACTGAGTAGATCCTCGAAAAAACTAGTGTACAGATTGAGGGTTGAACTGAGTAGATCCTCGACAAAACTAGTGTACAGTTTAACGGTTGAACG